CTTTGCAACCTACGTAATTTTGCTTTCAGATATATATATATTTTTTTTTTCTTACACCATGATAGAGGAGGTTTTCATAAATGGTTTCTTTTGGTGGGAAATGGTTGGATGTCAGCTTGTGAAGGCTCTTAAAGGAGACATAGTTAAGAAATGGATAATCCAGTAAACACAGCCTCCATGCATTTTAAACATGCATAGGCTAACACTTCATTTGCTCTCAGTTTGGAGTGTCACACAGTGTTTCAAGTGCTAAAAGATTTACTATGGTTTATGACTCAAATATTTCTAACTCAATTTGTCGTTTAGCACCAAACTCCCCTGTCCTGCAGCACACTCAAAGGCTAAAGGGCATCAAGGCATTCTCCTGCTCAACTGCCCATGGACTGGAATAGCTCTCATGACCTTTCTATTGCTCTTGGGATCTTTTATGAAATTAATTATTAAAATGCAAGGCCTTGGGTCTGTCTGTGATGTAATGCTTGAGGTCTTCACTGCAAAACCAGATTTCCTCAGTCACAATAATTTTTATATACTAAACAGTTTCTGCTTGAAAAGAATGATACTGCCCTTCAGTATAATTTTGCTTTTTTAATCCACCTTATTACCAGTTTACTCTTTTGCAAAGCACTATTAACTGAGTGCATTTCCATTAAATTTCAAAGTACATCTTGGTCTTTATGACTGGATGTTCCTTATAAAACATGCGAGTTCTGGGAGGTATGACCTCGGGTGCAAACATAACCATATTTGCTAAGAATAAGCTGTTTAACTCTGTGGCTTTGCTTATGGTTCCATAATTAAAGTGCTTGGACACTATTACAGCAAATGGACTGAAGCTACAGGTATAATGAGCAGTAAACAGAAATACAGATAAGAGGAATTAGGTTTGAGGAGCAGGTTGTCATATCCAATTCTGCTAACCTCATAAATGGAGAATACCCAACCTTGACTTGCACTAATACTTAGAACAATAGTTATCATAAAGAGCCCTTCAGCCCAAGAGGACTGTGTTTATTAAGTGGCCAAATCAGTGGGTTTGTAATCTGTAAAAATAATTTGCTACAGTGTATTGGACCAATAATTATTGAGTGGCAAACGCGTTTTAAGGCATTTCAGTGGCAGCTCCACAGTGGATCCTACAAACAGAGACTATTAAAAATCCAGGTTTTCATGCCTGCAGCAAATGCAGGTTTTGAGTAAGAATTCAGCAGTGGAATATTGAAAACTTTCCATACAGATACGTGCCTGAGCTGTATAATAGATGAGCGATCTCAGGCAGCACTGAAAGAATCCATTTTTCTCTTTCCAATTTTTCCCCATCTGGGTTTACTAGATTACCCAACAAATATGAGCTAATATTTTAGTTTGCAGAGAGTTCTCCTCATGTTTGGAGGAACTGGGAATTTCATAACAGTTTTATGAGATGAGTTTAGAGCTGCTTTTTGGAAATGTGTTTTTAAACAGAGGATGTGTTTTATCTTTCTTTAGAACATATTTTCTTGATTTAACTGGCACAGGTTCATATTTTTTGAATAATTTAAGCAGTCTGGATCCAGGGCCCAAATTGTGTTGACCTTCAATATAATCCTGGTGAAGTGAATGTTGAAATAGCAAAGGGAAGTTCACTTTTGTGTTGAAGACCAGGGTCAGTGAGAAATATTTCAGCTGTTATGCTATCCTGATTTAGAAGGCAAATGAAAGGCTTCTGTGCATCGTATTGACGTGATGTGACTGAGTGAGTGCAGATGCATCATGATCTGAAGTCTGCTAAACTTGTGTTTGGAGGGGTGTGAATATATAAGAAAGAGTCTGTTCCTAGGAGAAGCCAACCGCTGGTTCTGGAAAGATCCCAACAAATCACAATAAAGTTATGCAACTCATCTTTATTGGTAGGATGTGGTACAAAATAAGATGATTTATGGTTTTATTTGGAGTGTCTGAGCATGACAGACTCTAGTGGTTATCACCAGTGTCAGGTCAGGAGCAGGGCACAGGAGCTTCCCTAAACGCTCAGGAAAAGGTGTTACGTGCATAAAACTTGTGGCCCGTTGTGGGAGAAGCATTTTGTATTATGTTGAATATTTGAATTTTCTATTAGGCTGCTCCTTGTGCAGTGGACACAACAGAGAAGCACCTGACCAAGCCCAAACCTAACAGAATGACCACAGTAAGTGACAATATATAAGATCTTATGCTCCTGCAGGACTGGAGATAGTTTCAAGAAAACTGGCTTCTCAGGGAAAGTAGAATCTCAGATCTGTTACTACTGGTCAGCGCCCAAGAAATAAAACTTCCAATCCACAGGGGCAAAAGATCACACAATACAGCTGTGCTTCAGGCAGCCATACCCAGCCTAAGCGATATTTCTACATGGTCCAGACCTTAACCCAGGCACAGACCCCTCACAAGCATGGATCTGTGTTTGGGGTAGTTAGTCTCACTCATCTTAAGTATTTGGTGTGAAAAATCTGTAGCAGAGCTGTTTTTTTTAATTGGGTGGAGTGGGAGGGGAAGGTGGCATGTTCCCCATCTGAAATTTGTTATTGGAAATTATTTCTAGCATTTGAAAATATATTTGAATAATATTTAGATAGTATTAATCACCCATTTCCATCAGCTATTGAAAAGGGTTCAGCAAAAATAATCTTTCATTTTTCAAACTTCTCTCCGGCTTGAAATAAAAATTGGATGTAGAGAAACCTTGACTTTTTGAAAGCAATATAAAAACAATGGAGTCCTCCTGGAAAAAAAAAAAAAGAATGGAATTTGTTCAGTTCCTTTAGAAACCCAGGCTCTGCCTTCAGAGCTTTCTCAACAGTCTATATTTTTCCCAATCACTAGCAAAACAAGGGTAAAGTGTTTCCCAAGGGAAACTGCTTTAGCCTGTTGCAACGTCCGTGAGGAGTATGGGTGCTGGTGGAGAGTGATACAGGGAGGAACTGTGCTGTCAACAACAGGAAGCTGGTGAAAAACGAGCGGTGCCCCTGGGGAGGTGAATGCAGAGCAGATGGCTCTAATTGTGAGTCACACTGTGACAACCGACAAGAGAAATTCTGCACTCTTGACACTTTAAAGATACCAAAAATACCAGAGAGCACATTCCATGGCTTCTTGAAGACTTCCATATCGAGGTAGCTGGGGGGGGAGAGCTCCAACTCCTCCTGTTTCCATCACTGAACAGCCCATAAAATTTGCTGTTGATAAGCTTCCAAGCAGCCAAGCATTCTAATACTTAGATAAGTCACTAATGTTAATAAAACCACTGAAGAAATAAGAAGGAAGAGGTGCAAAGGGGATTCATGTGCAGGGCAGCACCAGTTGCTTTAGATACTGATCCTTTCAATTAGGGGTGGTTCTGGATAAGAAAGGGGAAAGTAACATCCTTGTTTATAAGCACTGTTAGATTTTGAAATATCTGGGTTTTTTTCTTTTTTTTTTTTTTTTTTTTCCATTCAAAATGACTGCAATCTTTTTTTATTGTTTTTTAATTTTTTTTCGGGATACGGGTTGCAGATTTATATTGTGCTTCTTTAGTGGAGTTACAAAAAGTCAAGACCAGAAACCATTCACAGTTGCTTGCCAATTTTTTATTTTGGGATGAATGCCTGGCTTGGGTGGGTCTGCAGATGTCAACAGAGCTACCCCAGAAACATGTTTTATTTGTAGTATTTTCTTGCTTGATGCAACTGCTTAACTACCAGTAGTTTAGTACCAGATTGTCACTTGAGCATGGCCTGGGTGTTTTGCATGCACCCTAATAACATCAATCAGCTCCTTTACTTGGAACTCTGTGACCATTGATATCTGGCTGAGGCATTACTGTTGTTTTTCTCCTGGTCCCATGCAAAAATGTTCCCTGGATATTTGGGGAGGTGTGTGTGTGTGAATTTCATAGTGTTAGAAATATTTTTGGGAGTGTCTCATTCTGACTGGATTCAGATATCTGATATTTTGGCAGTTTCTACTGTTTTCCAGATTGTTGATATTTGTGAAAGCTGCTAACAATGGAAAAGTGCATCTGGACACTTGGGAAGGCACAACACTGCACAACTGTTCCTCCTACAGCTGTCAGGCTGCAGCTCAGGGGTGCAATTTCAAAGCTGGTAGTGGGTAAGTGCTCGTGCAGTGAGGTGGTGGGTTTGCTCAGGGAGGTCGCACAGTCCAGCACTTCTCAGTTCATTTCAGTGTTTCTGAGTTGGAACTATCTTTATCACTTTCTTTTATTGTTATTTTGGTTTATGTTACACCAGTTAAGTGTGTCTGTAACTTGCAGTACCTGTGGTAGTCGAGCCATGTCACATTACATCGTCTGGAAACCCCACCAAGCAGCCTTCCCCTCAGTTCTGCTGTGGTACACTGCTGAGGTTACACCAATGGGTCCTTCTTTGGTCCAGTTCTCTCATGTCAGCAATGCAGCTTGAGATGAGACTAAATTAAATCCTTGGGCATTTCAGAACAAGACTTTGTAACTGCTGTGCCAGACTGACACTTGACCTATTTGCTAGCAGATATTTTATTAGTCTTCCACTGTTATTGCCATTTTTAAGATGAAGTCACTCTGTGAAGAGCCCAGGATTTACACTAGTTGGAATTAATCTACTGAAATACTTGTGTAGTTCACACTTAAGAATTTTTAAGTTATGTAACACCTATATACACTGGGTTGCGTTTTCTAAAATCATGAACCTTTTTTGTATCCAACTCACAAAGATCTATGCAGATACACGCATATGAGTCTCCTAAGACATGCAAAGCCCTGCCATCATTTTGTGGTATCACCACTGCCAGAGAAACCTACTGCAATGCAAAGCCAAGGAGCAGGACTCATGTTTGGTATGAATTTCAAAGTTTGTCTCTTGTGGAGTTACTTTTTCCTGCTGGTAATAGTAGAGAAGAAGAGGAGTAAGCACCATGTCATCTTCTTTTCTTGAATCCTTGGCAGGGATTTTGAGACCACAACTCTTCTCTCCTTTTAAAGGCTTTCCCTTGGAGAAGTTGTATGACACGGTGGAATGTCTTTCTTCTTTATATCTGTGTTGGCTAAAGGAAGACAGAGGAGCTTGAAAAGGCTCGCCCTCCTCAAGGAACGCTATCTGATTTGTAAGCATTCCTAGAGGTTAAGGCTGGTGACTATCAAGAAAGCAAATACTTCACGCAAGGGTAAGTCCTCTAATTGTGTTTGTGTTGAATAGCTGCCAGATCCCCATGTCAGGATGTCTGCAGTCACGGCTCTGATCTCACCATTCCTTCCTCGGCTGTTGCACAATTGTGTTGCATGTTTGTGGTAGGGGAGAAAGTTGGAGAGCTGGGCTATGAAACCATCTCAGGGAAGGAAGCCATGTTTTATTTTAGTTGCTTGGTTTGGATAAAAGCCTGTAGGAGATTGAATAACATAAAAAACCCATAATGTGGCCCATTCATGGAAAACAAACCTGGTCTTCTCTGCAGATATGTGAAATATGAAGCTTGATAGCCAGGTTGGAAAAGGAAATGTCTGTTTGCTGGTGTAGTAGAAATCCTAATGAACATACATGATAAGACATTACTTGTTCTACCTGGATTCTCACCTGTAGCTGCAAGGTCTGTTGGGTTCAGGCTTGCAGATGTAATGAGGGAACTTTTGGAAAGCTGGTTGGAAATCCACATCTCTGAATGCTCACTTCAAGGATCTGTTGTGGCAGAGAAGTGAGACAGAACAATGACAAATAACAGGTTGTGAAAGAGGAAAGAAACCCAAAGGTACTGCAGGCAACAAGCTTAGCAGTGGAGAGAGAAGGAAAGAACATCATAATTCCTTCCAGCCACAGCAGAAGAGTTTTGGGGACTCTCAGAACAAGCAGGGATTGAAAGCCACTCGGGTTACACAAATACTCAATCCTGAAAGAAGACAGCAGTTGCCTTAGCCACAGAAATATTGAGTAAAAGTAATATCCTGATCAGTCTCAGTACCATAAATCTTTCTTAGATGATAAAGTTGTGCATTACTCCAGCTTGGTTAGAACAAAGTAAATGTCACAGAGGTCTAATTTTAATATTGAAAAATAGTAAGAGGTTGGGTTAATCTTTGACCATCATGTCGTCTCACATAATAAAATCTGGGGAGCTGTTAGCGGTGCTCCAGGAGGATGTCAGTTCCACTTCCTAAACCAGGAAGGGGAGAATTATCCAGAGCAATAAAGAGCTTGTACAAATAATACTAGGGAAATCAGAAGTTAATCAGAATACCAACTCAATCTAATCAGTGTGAATAGCTCCCTGCCAACTGCTCCGTTACCTGAAACAGGGGTCAACTGATAAATATCAGCCAGTCCTCTCATTAAAAAAACACAACTAACAAACCCCCTTCATCTCCGAATCTCAAATTCCATCATTCCCGATAAGCAGTAACCAGTTCCTCATCTCTCATTTGCAGTTCATATCCTGAGCTACACAGATTTGCTGTTAGAGATAAGGATATGAAAAAGCAAAGTGATATTAATACACATGTTGCAACCTGTGAGCCTCTCTGAGGCTGCCGTGCCTGGCGTTGGGAACAGAGGTGGTCAGTGAGTCTGCACAGGGACTTCTGGATCTGGCCACATGCCGTTTGTTCGACATTAGCCTGGATGTTCAAAGAAAACAGTATGAGACATTTGAATGGAGAAACAGATGATTGACCAAAGAGGGAGCAACGAAGGAAGAATGGGAGCGAGAAGGACCCACTGTGTGTCCGTGGGCTGCTTCTGGAGCTGGCAGAGAATGTCTGTCAGCTGAAGGGGGAAGAAGGAGAGGGATCTGTAACCCCAGGCTTATGAAAGATGTCCCCCAACTGCCACCAAACCACATGAATTACCTTTGGATTCTCATCCCATGCTCACCACTGTGATGTACTTGTCATAGTTCCAGCCAAGGCAGTATTTTGTGCCTTTGCCTTTTACCACGGGTGAGATTTTGCTGTCCTAAAACTCAGGTAACACCGATCAATAGTGGCAGTCAGCAAAAGACGGTTCCCAAATCAGCATTCTGGGGCTCGAGTCAAACGTTCCTCTTCAGCCATTTTCTGCAATGTTTTTCTGAACTTTTGTGAAGGCACAGAAATTGCCTTTTTTTGCTTTTCTTGGTAACTGAGAGAAATAAGGGATGAGTCAGCTGCACCATAATGCAGAATTCTTCTCTACAACAGGTTAGAGGCTTTCCAGAGAAAATCGTTCTTTTCTGTTCTGCCGACTTTGTTTCTTCATGTGTTTTAGATTTACAGATAAACCAGTCAAAGCTAATCAAAAGCAAAACAGAACACAACCAATACAAAATCCCCCAACATACTTTTAAAGGTCACTGATGTAACTATATTTAGTTTTAATATTTTTTTAATTCCAGTGTGTAGTGAATAAGCAGAGGTTATTTCCTCAAACAAACCAAGGTTTACTTAGCTTGTTTTCCTGACTTCAGATTTAGCTGAAGTCAAATATTATGACCTGTAATAATCTGAGAACAATATGTCTTTTTTTTTACACTCAAATTACTGTTCACTGTCACTTTTCCTGTTAAGGGAAAAAATAAAGCCTGTTTCAGTGAGCCACAGGTAAATTAAATTTAACTCAATTCTATGATTGAGGGCAGAGGTCTTGGAGACAAGCTGCCTGTAGCAGGTTATATATGCTTATATTTATGGGAAGTCTACACTCAAATTAGAAATAAGTCAAAATGATTTCAGTGAAACATTTTTGCCATTTTTGTCAAAGTGAAAAATAAAGAGAAACCTATAAAATGGATTCATTTACACGATTATTTGTGGAAAATAGATTTACTGTTTCACATTATGTTTCTTTGTGAGCTATCATTCATTTGCTTTTCCAAGGACATGCTCTTCTTCCATTATTTACTTTTAATTTCAAAGGGGGAAATAATGGGGTGAGGGGTTTTGGATTATTGTTTCACTTGAAATGCCTGGACAGTAAAGAAATAGTATATTCTATGCACCCTTTAAAAGTCAAACACCTGCTATTGAAGGGGAAATAATTTCCCCCCCACTCCTCACCCCCCTAAAAAAAGAAGAGAAAGAAAAAGAGAACAGGTGCAGTTAATGGGCCAGACTAAAGTATAAGGGGAGATTTTCGAAGCCACAGATGAATTTAGCTGCACCACTTCCGAGGAATATAAATAAGTGTTGTTTACTTTGGTTTTCTGAAGTTTGAAATTATCCTCTCCAATGTAGGCTTTGGGGAGAAGTCCACTTGAAATAATTGTAGACATTTGAAATTAACATGTCACTGCCACCTCATATGACAAGGGTAAATGCCACTCATTCATACACAGATTTTCCACAGACTACCAGAATACCAGAGAATAGTACCAAGTATTGCCAGTGAAAAGCAGGAGTAGCCTTGCCTTACATCTCCACTTGATATTTCACTACTTTTTCCGAATTGTCTTTGAGCGGGGAACAAGGTCTGGGCATTTGGCCCAGGCAGGCAACACTATCTCTATTTTTTTAACTCTGGTTTTAACAGAACCTTTCCTCCTACCTACACTTCCTGTTGCATTTGTTTATCTAAAATTGTTCTGGAAAATAATGAGTTTATAAAAATGTAACACCATGTCTTGATTCTATGAAGTTAATACATTATTAAGTAAAAAGTCTTTCAATCATACCACTGCTCCAAATATATATATACACTGAGACACATACGTTGAATCTATTAAAAAACAACTTTCAAGCAGCTTTGGAATTACACAAAAATTAGACAATGCTGTACAATTAAACCACCATCTGCCTTATTAATGGATAACTCTTGCTCATCTCTGGGCCTAAATCACACGTTGTGCTGATCAAAACACACACCAAATGAATTTAGACACGTTATATCTGTGATCTTATTCTAGAACCTTAGTTCTTTATAAGGTCCACCATTTTGTAAGGCCACTGTGGAAAGGCAATGAAAACTGTTTATTGAAGTGATTAAGGCTTATCCTAATTTCCAATAGGAAATTTCCATAAGGAAGCTTTTTTCTCTCATGCATTCTAACCTTAGTAGACTATCATCTTCCTTTATATTCAGTATTTAAAAATTGTTTTGGCAAAGTGCCTGTGTAGTGAGAAATGCAAGCTGTCTTTATTGGACTGTTTTGTTCTTGTTTTTGTTTTTCATTAAATACCTCTCATGTTTTTTTCCTTACAATGACCCACTGCAGGTAAATTCAAAGTAAGAACCGTGTTATTTCTTTTGTTCCAGTGACTCACTCCAGTAAGGAACAGATTCCGTTGTGTTAAGTTGTTGCTTCTAAGATAATATCATAAACTTCATTCCAACATAATAATAGTTTTTAATTTGAAGTCATAGAAAAACAGACTGATTGAAAATAACCCATAAGTGATTGAGTGAGCTACATGTAGAATCATTCTCAGGTCTGGATTCATCTGTCTGTCTTTTCTACAGATTGGGAAAATTTTCTTTTCCCTTTTTTTTTTCTTTCTTTCTTTCCTTTTTTTTTTTTATAAGGCAATTCTTAATGCTTGAACAAATCCCTTTTTCTTCCCTTCGGTAATGTGGTTAACTGTCTGGAATGTGAGCCACTGGAAATTCTTCCCCACAGAAGAATCTCCATTAAGCTTTCAAACAGAGTTACTTCATCCCCACAGCTGCATGGATAGAAGTCTTTCTAGTGCCTAAATACTTACTGTATATGTCATCCTTAAATTTAATTATTTTTTTTTCCCCAGCCAGAGCTTTAGGAGCAGGTGCTAGCCTTTTGCTTCCTTTCTGCTTCCTCTGTGGGGAACGGGCTGGAAAGAGCCAACTAATTAGAAAATTCTACAGGGAAATTAATTCTGCAAACAGCTGAGGAATGGCATTTCAGTATAATGCTCACTTTGTCTGTCAGCAGAGCACTGGTTGGCTTCACAAGTGGCAGCTCTCCCAGATGTTACACATGTTGTGATGAGACCAGAACTGCATCATATGTTGCCCGTTTACTAAGAGACATGGTGCTCTGGAAGAGCACCTCTGGGACATGCTATGTTCTTGTCACAAGGCAGCTGCATGGGTTTTTTGCATATGCTTGAAGTGTAGCAATGAACCAAATCATTTTTAGTGAGCTTAGTTCCGAGTGTTGCCTTTGCTTTCACGTAGGGCTGAGGTGTGGGGGAGGAAGGTGAGAGGAGACACTAAACTACTTGGTGT